ATATATATATATAATTAGACATTCTTTTGTTTTCTTCTGATACCACAGTCAATCACCTCACATAACACACTTTGGAGACCACTATTTTATCTAAAAGATAATCTTTTTCATGTTATTTTGAAATGCACAAAAAAACGTACCCAGAGGAACTATACCAAAATGTTTATGATTGATTAAAAATAAGCAGACAAATTTAATAGACATCTTTCTAAAGAAGACATTCAGACGGCCAACAGGTACATGAAAGATTCTCACCATCACTAATCATCAGGGAAATGCCAATCAAAGACACCTGAGATGCCACCGCACACCTGTTGGAATGCCTGTTATCCAAAAGACAAGAGACAATAAGTGTTGGTGAGGCTGTCGAGAAAGGGGACCTCTGTATACTGCGGGTGGGAATGTAAATTGGTGTGGCCACTATGGAAAATGGGGTGCAGGGGCCTCAAACAATTAAAAAAGAAATAGCATGTGACCCAGCAAATCTTCCTTTAGGTATGTGTCCGAAGGAAATGAAATCTCTCTCTCAAAAAGACACCATCACCCCATGTTCATTGCAACATTATTTACAATAGCAGGATGTGGAGGCAAACTAAGTGTCCATTCACAAGTGAGTGGGTAAAGAAAATGCATATATAGAGAGAGCATTGTCACCGTAAACTTTATGCAACATTTCACAAGCTTGACATGCGATCTTCCCTTTATGGAAGTAAAACAGTAAAATATGGCAAAAATGCAAAGTGTGGTCTTCCATCTTCAACTTGTTGAAAATCTCCAAAACTGAACCAAATGGCTCAAATTTTCTTTAGAATGCAGCTAGAACTGTCAGCTGTCAAATGGCACAGCAATAACATAGATGCAAATGAGTCAAGTGCTTCCAAAAATGAACTAGTGCCATCTGTGGCAAACAAGTGTCATGACTTTTCCAACAACGAGATAGATAGATCAGCAATAAAAAAATATCTTGTCTTTTGTGACAACATGCATGGACCTTGAGGGTCTTACGCTAAGTGAAGTAAGTCAGACAGAGAAACAAAAATATACGTGGCCACATACGTGGAATCTACAAAAGCTAAAGTCATAGATATAAGAGAGTAGAAGGGCGGTCACCAGGGATGGGGGTGCAGGATGTGGGGAGATGTTGGGCAGAGGGCACAAAGTCCACGGATAAGTTGAGCAAGTTCTGGGGACCTGTGTGTAACACAGTGATGATGATTAACAATACTCGCTGGGCACAGGGAACAAAGTCCACGGATAAGTTGAGCAAGTTCTGGGGACCTGTGTGTAACACAGTGACGATGATCAACAATACTCGCTGTATCAGGTGCATGAGAGAAGGTACACGTACTTGGAAACGCCAAGAAAAGCTGCAGTTCTCAACAGTGGCCACGAGGTGTCACCAGATTCCCCAGGCTGGTGCCAGGCGGGAAGCAGGGTCTCCAGTAACCACCTGAGGGCGCTGCCTCCTGCCTCCTCCGGGCCTTGACATCTGGGAAGCGGGCCAGGAGGGGCAGCGGTGGGGATAGTGGCTTTGCCAGCGTCAGAAGCTGGCATTCTGGGCACAGCCGGCAGTGGCCCCGACACGGGCAGCCTCAGCTGGGGCGGGGGCATCGGGAAAGCGTCCTGATGCAGAAGCTGGATCCGCAGGGCGGGGGAGGCAGGGGCGGCCGGCAGGCAGGGCGGACCAGCCAGTGGGTGGAGAAGCCAAGGCACCTGCAGAGCATGAGCCCCAACTGCTGGGAGCTGCCTGGACCTCGGGCCAGCTGCCTCGCCCAGGTGTGCTTAGTCCCTCCCCTGGAAAGTGGCATTGTCNAGCCGTCCCACGGGGCCTCAGTAGGAGACACAGAGCACGGCCCTGGCCTGGGCCATTCCTCCTGTGCCAGACTCTGCACCTCCCAGGAGACACCCCAACTTCTGAGAAATAATGGGCCTTGAGTAGGGGGCGTCTAGGCTTTATCTTTGGGGGAAGATTTTTAAGACTTGCTCAGTCTGGTGGAATCATATCAAGCTTCAGCCACTGCTCGGTCCTTATGATCACTTGCTGTGTATTTTGGCCAATTCTGTTTTACCTGGAAAGTTCTCTCACCTCCTAGAGGGAGGACGCCAGCGCGCGGTGAGACTGGGTGAGAACCTGCACTGTGGAGGCCCCTACCTGAGCCTTCTGTCTCCCCCTCCCCTCCACCACAGAGCCGGTGCCCCTCCCCCAGATCCTGGCCAAGTCACTGTCAGTCACAGCAGACTGGTGCAACGTCACCCTGGAGTGCAGAGCCGTGGGGGCCTCAGAGGACCTGAATGTGACCTGGTGGAGCAGTGACCTCCCCAGGAAGTGGCAGCAGACAGGGACCCTGGGACCAGGTTCCAGCATCTGGGCCCTGGCTGTGCGCCTGCCCCTGGACCAGGCCAACACCAGCCTCACCTGTAACGCCATCAACCAGGTGGACATGAAAACTGCCACCACCACCCTGGGGGACATCTGTGCCCACCGTGAGTATAACGTGTCCGTGGAAAGGTAGCACTGTGGTCCTTGCAGGCTGACTGCACACCTTCCACCTGGTCACACACACAGAGCGGCTGGGAGTCACACCCAACTTGTGTCTGCATTTAAATGTCTCTCACCGTCGTGCCCTCCTCTGCACCCTGGGCCCTGCTGACCCAGGAGGAAGCCTTCCTCCCACCCCCGCCATCACCCAGAGCCGTCTTCTGGACACAACCTAAATTTTATCATTTCCTGAGTCGTCTGTGGGATTGGTCTCCAGGGGCTCCCAGAGGGATTCCTTGAGGGGATGCCCCAACCCGTGTGTCTGACCTCATACCCCCCACACCCAACCCATCCCGATACATCTCGCCTTTGCAGACTGTGAGCTCCAGACTGTCTATGCCTCTTCCATCAGCCCTCCCACAGGAATCCTTCATTTCTTGACATATTTAATTGAAGATTTCCCTCAGGCACGGCTGACTTTGTGATCACGTGACCCATGCTGTCACACAGGGCCCCTCGCTCGGTTTCCAGCTCGGCCTTTAATGAAGTTGAACAAAGCGCTCCTGGTTCTTGTTTGCTCAGGGCCATGCAGCTGTCTTCCTTGTCCTGCCTCAGGTGACACCTCCCTCCAGGAGCAGTCCATGTCCCCCACACTGGTGGCAGTGCTGTCTCTGAGAATGGGTGTATGTCTTTTGTAGCCCAAACACCTTGTCCTCCTTTGGTTCCTTGTGCCAAGCAGGGCTTTTGGACAAGTTTGCTCACAGCCGGTGTTTCACCGAGTGAGTGACTCACCTGTGCCCCTGTGTGCAGCCTTGGCATTGAACCCATCCCCCACCCGCTGAGGGGTCTGACGTGTCAGCATCACGTAAAACCCATCACCTTCTCCTCCCACCACAATCTGATGTCCCCGGTGAATTTCAACTCTCAGCATGACCCACAAGACCCCCAATCATTCCTACTCTGTCCCTGTCCTGCTGGCCCCAGGGGTGCTGGCAACTCCCAAGGGCTTGCTTTCTCCAGGATTCCGCCCTTCCTGGAGTGTCATAACCACCCAAAGTGTCTGGGAAACTCCTACAACTCCCTCCAGACTCAGGTTACCCATTACCACATCCGGTATTTCCTGTCCTCCCTCCTGGGTGACTAGCTCCTCGGGGCAACACCATCCTTGTCATCTCTCTGTTTGTTTGTTTGTTTGTTTGTTTGTTTTGCTTTTTTTTTTAGCTGAGCCATCCTGCTACCTGTTGGCAGCTCAGCGGCTGCTCAGCTCGGGCTGGACTCGAACCGCTGTTGCT